CAATTTTATGGTAAACAGGTGAATAATTGTATTGCTGATGGAGGGCTTAAGGATATCCAACATGAGTAGAGTTGCCAGCATACTGCCGAGTGTTGACAAAACTCATATAATGCTTGAGCAAAGAAGTTTGAGACTAGCCTGGGAAACATGGCAAGATCCTATCTCTACAAAACACCTGAAAACAATTAGCTAGGCATGGTAGCATGTGCCTGTGGTCCCAGCTACTTGGGAGGCTTAAGTGTGAGGACTGCTTCTGCCCAGGAGGTTGAAGCTGCAGTAAGCCATGTTCACTCCACTGCCTTTCAACCTGGGTGACAGAGCAAGACTCTGTCTCAAAAACAACAACAACAACAACAACAAAACACATATAGGGTATTTTTCACATTTAATAAAGCTCAGCTTCTTTTTTTTTTTTTTGAGACGGAGTTTTGCTCTTGTTACCCAGGCTGGAGTGCAATGGCGGGCTCACCGCAACCTCCACCTCCTGGGTTCAGGCAATTTTCCTGACTCAGCCTCCCGAATAGCCAGGATTACAGGCGTGCACCACCACGCCCAGCTAATTTTTTGTATTTTTAGTAGAGACGGGGTTTCACCATGGTGACCAGGATGGTCCGGATCTCTTGACCTCGTGATCCACCCGTCTCGGCCTCCCAAAGTGCTGGGATTACAGGCTTGTGCCACCACACCAGCCTAAAATTGAGCTTCTTAAACTGGTTTGACATTTGGCTTAAGGTGGACGTAACTAGGACTTTCTCTTATACTTACCCGTTGTTGGTGAACAATGTTTTTATGCTCACGTGCCACACGTGTGGCCCATTTTCGAGCTTCCTTGTTTAGACTGTGCTCCTCTGTGGTCCCAGTTTCTGATTCTAATTGTCGGCTCTACAACACAAGAGAGAACAAAGATAAAAATACTGCTAACCTTATTACAACCACTACTGCTTTGTAGATGGACCAGAGGGCCTTCACTTAATCAGCACTCAAAACATGAGGCATGCTCCACTACTGCTGGAAGCAATGTCTTAATGTCACAGAAAGTTACCAGAAGAGTAAGATGACAGTAAGAAACCATTAAAGACCAATAAGCTTTTTGTCTTATACTGTTGAACACAAAAGCATAATTTCTAATACTGTGGACTTACCCTTTTGGGTGTGATGGAATTATCTTTCTGAAGGGGAAGGAAGCTAGTTAAGGTAAGCAAAGAAGAAAAAAGTATTCATGCCAATCTACTATGATGCTAAAATCATTGCATAAATAAAAATGGAAACAATCTAATAGTTTCAATGTGAGTAAAGAATCATTAAAGAGAAGTAAGAACAAAACAATAAAATAACAGCAACACAATCCTGTACCACCCCACTGCCCCAGGATACTGGATTTCATCAAGTTAGAGGTCCATCATCAACCTGCCACCAAACTTCAAGCCAACTTTTGCCCTTTCTCTAGGATTTAATGTATACATATGAAAGATAAGGGTGCTAGATCAAATGATCACCAAGGGTTTCTTCTAGCTCTAAAATGCTATAATTCTGATTTACAAAGAACAAACCGCAAAATCTAAACAATAGTAATAGCTAACTCCTATTGTGCAAGGTACTATGGAAAGTGCTTTATGTAACATTTTTTTTTTTAACAGGCTTAATGATGTGGGTCCCAAACCATTTTATAGAAAAGAAAACAAACGCTCAGAGAGATTAAGTAATTTTTCCCCGGATGGCCTAGATATTAAACGTTACAACCTTAATTGTCTGATTCCAGAATCAGAGCTATTAAACACACAACTCTTTTAATTCTCTCTAAATTCTTAAAGACCCATGAAAAACAAAGTTTATTGAGATAATTAGGAAATTTAAAAAAATATAAATTACCCAAAGAGGTTTTTATTAGAGAAAGAAGCAAAATTATAGAATGAAAAGAATTTTAGAAATTCTGATCATGGCTCACTGCAGCCTCAACTTCCAGGCTCAAGTGACCCTCCCACTTCAGCCTCCTGAGTAGCTAGAACTACAGGTGTGTGCTACCATGCCCAGCTAATTTTTTTTTCTCCCTAGAGACAAGGTCTCACTATGTTGCCCAGGCTCCTTTTAAATTCCTTGGCTCAAGTAATCCTCAAAAATGTTGAAATCACAGGCAAGAACCACACCTGGCCTAGTAATTCTTTTGCGAGATCTTGTAACTCAAAATTGATAAGTTACAAGATCTCGCAAAAGAATTACTAGGATTTTAAAAATTAATATTTTTGTTTGGGGAATTGTGATGAGGCAGGGTTTAAAGTTTTTGCTCTATACTAGCAAAACATTCCAGCTAAAGCTAGATTCTAATGATGGCAAATGAACAGAAATAGAGCAAAATAATCAAAATTCAAATCTAACCATCTTTACATTTGTATTTTATATTCTAATTCATTCTTTGGGTTATCAGAAATCTGGGAATGAACTTCATTTTATATTTTGCTTTGCAAATGATATCTGGGCATTCAAATTTACATCTGTTCTCAAAAATCAGGAACATTAAAATGTTAAACTCTGGACATAGATACAAATGAAATGTACATAGCTAGAGGAATGTAATCTGTAAAAGTAGATATTTTCTGAAGAGTCCAAGAATAGGTTTTTGAGTCAGATAGACAGTTTGAATCCACTGTATGCCATTTTATGGTACTACTAGCTTTATGATCTTGGGCATGTTAATTATCTGAGTCTTAGCTACATCTGAAAACTAGTGAAAATGTCACCTATCTCCATAGGTTTGATAGGCTAAATGAGGTAATATTTTAAACATTCTGGTATAGTATCTACATAATATCTTAAGCATCCAGTCATGGTAACTGTTAATGTTAAAGACCCAATTGAAAATTACTTGAAACAAAATTTTCTCATTATTGTTTATAAAAAAATTCAGGTAATTCATAGGTTCTTGGTAGCCTAAACAACAAATCCAAAACAAAGATTGAAGATATATTGAAAGATTAAGGTAGATCTCAGAGAATTAATTTGTAGGGAACAGCTAGATGAGAAAGGAGGCAACTGACGGAGACATTTAATTTTTATTACTGAGTAGCATTTTAAGAATATGTAAAGGGGTTTAAATTGTGTACTGGCTGCAGATGGGCCATAACCCAATTTGCCTTACAAAATTTATATCTTTTTATTGAGTATTCACTGAGCTTTTCCCTTATTTTTTATGTGTCTACTAAGACCTGCAAGATTGGAAGATATGGCTTTGAGATCCTTTGTTTAGGGAATGACACATAATTAAAATTCAAATTAGTTTATCCTTTTCATGAGTTCTGAAATCAAGCCATGGAATACATGTGGAAGCTCCTGAGGCACAGGTCTTGACAACTGAGAATTTCATACAAGGCGAATATAGCCCGGGGTGTTAAACAATACACAGAGAAATGTTCAAATACCACCTCTACTGTCAAAGATCAATATAAATCAGGATCTAGTATAGGTCATAATAATAATTATTAATTTGAGACAGTCTCACTTTGGCTAGCATAATTTCAGCTCACTGCAACCTTTGCCTCCTGGATTCAAGTGATTCTTCTGCCACCTGCCTCAGCCTCCCATGTAGCTGGGACTACAAATGCATACCACCATGCCCAGCTAATTTTTTGTATTTTTAATAGAGATGGGGTTTTACCATGTTAGCCAGGATGGATAATAATTTTTTTTAAGATGGTGGCATTAGCAGTGGTTGATTCCAACAAAAAACCCGTAACAACTGCTTCTTTTTAAAATGCTGGCAAATTTATTTTTATTTTTTATTTTTTTAGAGTCTTGCTTTGTCACCCAGACTGGAGTACAGTGGCACTATCTTAGCTCACTGCAACCTCTACCTCCTGGGTTCAAGAGATACTCATTCCTCAGCCTCCAGAGACACTGGGATTACAGGTGTGCACCACCACGCCCAGCTAATTTTTTGTATTTTGGGTAGAGATGGGGTTTCACTATGTTGACCAGGCTGGTCTCGAACTCCTGTCCTCAAGTGGTCTACCTGTCCTTGGCCTTCCAAAGTGCTGGGATTACAAGCGTGAGCCATCGCGGCTGGCCTAGTTCATCCTTTTAACATTTTTCTTTTCTTTGGAAGACAGGGTCTCACTCGATTGTCCAGGCTGGAGTGCAGTGGTGCAATCATGACTCACTGCAGCCTTGACCTACTGAGCTCAAGAAATCCTCCCACCTCAGCATCCCAAGTAGCTGAGACTACAGCGTATGCCAGCACACTCGGCTAATTTTTTGATTTTTAGTACAGATGCGATCTCATTATGTTACCTAGGCCATCTCAAACTCCTGGCCTCAAGTGATCCTCCTGCCTTCACCTCCCAAAGTGCTGGGATTATAGGCATAAGCCACCATGCCCAGCCCAATATTTTTCCTTTATCTTTAAACAATGTTTTTGATACAAAAATTAGCCAGTGTGGTGCGCATACCTGTAATCCCAGCTACATGGGAGGCTAAGGCAGGAGAATTGCTTGGACCCAGGAGCCAGAGGTTGCAGTTCAGAATGCGATTTGAACTAATAAGAAGTTACAGCTCAGGGTTTTATGCAATGTATGGTATATAGATCACTTCAAAAATCTGGAAAATTCTGAATTTTGAAATATATTTGGCCTAAGGCTTTTGGTAAGAGCCTATAGACTTTTAAGTCACCATATTTCAAATATACCACACATCCTGGAGGGAGTGGGACAGTGCCTCTTAAAAGACATAATTTAACTTATTCTGACTATGCCTGGATAGCAGAACCCCCACCTGGAAAGAGGTGGGAACTCATCTAGATAAATTGAATGTGCCTGGTCTCTCAGGAGAGTACGACTGGAGAACAACTGGTATAGACTGAGCCTTGGGACAATTCTAAAAAACTCTGCACACCTGGGTAACAGGAATATACCCATTAAGGCTGAGGGTGAAGAAATGATGAGAACTCTAAGAACGGAGCTATTCTTTTGTCTTGGGTTAGAGTACCAAAGGCAGAGCTTAGCAAAAAACAAAAACAGCAATAAAAACCTTGTGTCTAACATCTTCTAGAACATACCTAGAGGCATCAGACGGAAGAGCCTTATAAAAAGTATGCCTTTATTTTGGTAGCTCTTACAGAGATTTTCCTTTAAGAGCTATAATCACAAACTAGATAGGGGAACTTCCAGGCTCCTATGTGTCAGCACGTAACTGATGCTTCTGTGCAAAGATCTAGCTACTCTGGATGGTTAGACAAGCAACCAGATCAGGAGAAAGGGACTAAACCAGTAGAGGGCCTATCATATAGATGGCGGACTTTCTACTAAAAGCCTTTTGTGAAATGCTGAAGAAATCAGGACAACCACTTTGAACACTTAACTGTCAGTACAGCTAATTCTAAAAAGTGATGCTCGAGTTTTCTGCTCCTCAGAGTAAAGGGGCGGCTGGTGCAGCCTCTATTGTTCAGGTTTTAAGGCACCATGAGGGGTGACAGAGGCTGTGGTCGTGGTGGGCACTTTGGTTCCAGAGGAGGCCCAGGAACAGGGTTCAGGCCCTTTGTACCACATATCCCATTTGACTTCTATTTGTGTGAAACAGCCTTCCCCTGAGTCAAGCCAGCACCTGATGAAACTTCAGTTAGGCCTTGCTGAAGAGGAATCAGGACCTGGTTCCCAAATCTATCCTTTCTCTGGTGACAAATAAACAATGTGATTGACAATCTGATTGTGGCTCCAGGGACATTTGAAGTGCAAATTGAAGTTCGACAGGTGGGATCCTATAAAAAGGGGACGATGACTACAGGACACAATGTGACTGACGTGGTGGTGATACTCAAGATTCTGCCAACATTGGAAGCTGTTGCTGCCCTGGGGAACAATGTTGTGGAAAGCCTAAGAGCACAGAATTCTTCTGAAGTTTTAACCATGCTAACCAATGAAACTGGCTTTGAAATCAGTTCTTATGATGCTACAGTGAAGATTCTTATTACAACAGTGCCACTCAGTCTTCAAAAACTGTACCCAGAACTCCATTTGGATATCAAGATATTGCAGAGTGCCTTAGCAGCCATCCGACATGCCTGCTGGTTTGAGGAAAATGCTTCTCAGTACACAGTTAAAGTTCTCATCAGACTACTGAAAGACTTGAGGATTTGTTTTCCTGGCTTTGAGCCCCTCACACCCTAAATCCTTGACCTACTAGAAGTCATTATGCTGTGATGAACAACCCCACCAGACAGCCTTTGGCCCTAAACGTTGCATAAAGGTGCTGCTTGCAGATTGTGGCTGCAGGACTGTTCCTGCCAGGTTCAGTGGGTATTACTGACCCCTGTGAGACTGGCAACTTTAGAGTACACACAGTCATGACCCTAGAACATCAGGACATGGTCTGCTATACAGCTCAGACTCTCGTCCAAATCCTCTCACATGGTGGCCAGGAGGGTAATGCCAGCTATCTTGCTTCTGAAATATCTACCTGGGATGGAGTGAAAGTAACACCTTCAGAAAGGAAGGAGAGGAAGAAGAGGAGAATACAGAAGACCACCTCAAGGAGAGGAAGAAGAAAGCATGGAAACTCAGGAGTGACCTTCCCTTCCCTTGACTTGGAGCCAGACCTTCCCTTGACTGGAGCCTAAGCTCACTGGTACTGGGCTTTACAGGGTCGTAGACGTTTCTGAGGGATAGGGAAGACAAAAGAAAGGAAAGTAACTTCATAGAAGTGTCATATTGGCTTAGCAGCCAGTTTCCCATTTGTGACCTATGCCATCCATTTATAATGAATGAGGATACCAACATTTCATCCTAATATTCTAGAATCCCCAACTCCTGAAAACCCCTCTCTCAACTAATACTTTGCTGTTGAAATGTTGTGAACTGTTAAGTGTCTGGAAATTTTTTTTCTAAGAAAAACTATTAAAGTACTTCCAAGTAGGGAAAAAAAAAAAGTGATGCTCTTGTCTTTAGTCAAAGCCTCTCATTTTTGGATACTGTGCCAAGCATATGTGTAAGAGGATGGTACTTATTTACTCAACAGGAGGACTTCCCACAATTTCTATCACAGCCTTTCAGGTTTATGAGACAATGCTATATGCAGTAAAAAAATTTCTATAAGCAGAGTCACCCATAACAGCGAGAATTTTCAGGTACATTTCCTGCACAGTGTATTAACCCCATGCAGTCTTTCATAGACAAGGGAAATTTTTGCCAAATATTTATTTTTAATAGATGCATAAATCACTCCCCTTATGTAAAACTTTAATGCGTAAAAGTTCTCAACTACAGCAAGTGGACATTTTACTTACTATAATCGTTAATCTATAGAAGGTAGAATTAAATACCAGAAATAGCATCTAGAATAACAGGAAAAGATCATATATCAGAAATTTAGTATCACTTTTTGCTATCAATATCTCTGAAGATCTTGTTATTTGTTGTTCAAGGAAGGTAAAAGGGTAAGGGTATTCTCATCCCCACTGGGAAACTTGAAAACGTTTCCTTAAGATTTTCATGTATAGATGATACCTAAGTTTTGTGGAATGCATGTTTCCAATATTATTTTCCCATCCCAGCTTCACCTTGTCCTTTTTCACAGGATGTGACGAAATGCCCCTAATGGCACCCATCACGAGTTCTAGTAATAATGGAAAGGCTCACTGAGATGTATGTAGGGCAAAGGTGTTGAAAAGTACAACTCATGTACTTAAAATTATTCCAAACAGATTGCCTTTCAGATGTACAAACTGCCAAGAGGGACGCTGATGAACTCCTCCTTGTGGAATAAGTAGGAAAACAAAAGTCCCATGGGAGTTTTAGTGATCAGTCCAACAAGGGAGTTGAGAGCTAGGGATCACAACTGCAAAAGTATTCCAAGTATTTCAAGATCTGTAATGTCTTCTATATTTGATATTTGGTATTTCCTATAGCAATTAGGGGAAAAATACTAAAAAAAAAAAAAGAAAAGAAAAGAAAAGAAAGAAATATGTTTGTCCTGTGGAAAGATTTTAAAAAGTCAATCCACATCTGTTCTGATTCAATGTGCCAGGCACTGAGTAAAATGCTTAGTATCCTATTTTTTTTTGTTCGAGATGGAGTTTCGCTCTTGTTACCCAGGCTGGAGTGTAATGGAGTGATCTCGGCTCACTGCAACCTCTGCCTCCTGGGTTCAGGCAATTCTCCTGCCTCAGCCTCCCGAGTAGCTGGGATTACAGGCACGCACCACCACGCCCAGCTAATTTTTTGTATTTTTAGTAGAGACGGGGTTTCACCATGTTGACCAGGATGGTCACGATCTCTTGACCTTGTGATCCACCTGCCTTGGCCTCCCAAAGTGCTAGGATTACAGGCTTGAGCCACCGCGCCCGGCCTATATCCTATTTAATATTCAAACCCAATAAGGTATAGCTGGCCTTCCATATTTGTGGGTTCTCTATCTGGAGTAAACCAACCACGGATCAAAAATATTTTTTTAAAAAAGCAAAAAAAAAAGGATAGTTGTGTCTGCACTGAACATGTATAGACCTTTTTCCTTGTCTTCTTCCCTAAACAATGTAATAGGACAACTATTAGCATAGCATTTACACTGTATTAGGGATTATAATCTAGTGATGATTTAAAGTATATGAAGAATATGAATAGGTTATATGCAAATATATCATTTTATATAGAGGACTTGAACATCTGTGGATTTTGGTACATGAAGAGGTTCCTAGAATTACGGACACCAAAGGAGAACTGTTGTCATGTCACAAATGAGGATGCTGAATCACAAAAGTTAAATATATAGAAAATGCTAGTTTAGACACCAAAACCTATGTTTTCTCCATTGTACAACACCTGTATGAATCACTAACCCCAGTGTGACCCATGTGGCAGCTGAATGACTCTAACATTGAGATTGTAATAATTGTGCTTGTCAGTTCTCTCTCACAGAATATCCTTACTATAGAGAAAAGGATTTTAAGGCAAATTCCATATCCTCCTCAGAATAATTCTGCATTAAAAAGTCATTTCAGAAAAAAAAAAAATATGTACTTTACTTTTTCTAGAAAGAGCTCTGGCTCTCTGGTATCATCTGAGAAATGATAATTGAAGATATAAAGAAAGAATACTTTAGAAATCAATAACTCTATTATGGAAAATAGGTAAGAAAGGCCTTCAGTATTAACCATGAGACAGCTATTAAGTTATTACAAAAGACAAAGCTTGCCATTGGTCACTATCACTTGTAGCCATCTTTTGGTAATAGTAAAATTCTACCCAAAAAAGCCCTCATTACTATAGTAATACTGTGACTATATGTTCAATTGGACTTCTGTAGGGAAAACAGTGTGGTTTGAAATGGGTTATATTAAAAAGTTAAAAAAATTTTTAAGACAGTTTATGAAAATCATCAGAAGAAAATAAGAGTTATATTTTATCATAGGCATAACTTTAAAAGTCCTATAACTTTCCTAAATATATCTTAAATTTAGATAAAATATTTACTGAATTCTCATCTGTAAGGCAAGGGCATATGCAAAGTATATGTAAGTATCTGCTTAGTAAATGAAAAATAAATGTGTTAAACCTTAAGCAGTTCAAAATTCCTAATTCAAACTATAAAATGTAAAATAAAAGAACAATACTGACTGGCCTGCAATGGATCTCATCATATTGCTGTCTTACCTGAGTACATAGTTCTCCATTTACACTCATGTATAAAATTCAAAAATAACACCTGGTTGCAATCCACTTTCATCACTAAGTCTACTTGCTATTTCAGGTACAGTCATGTACTTTCAAACTTTTCTGGCTCTAACACTTATTAGCTGAGTGACCTTGAGCAAAGCAAATTGCTTTTATTTCTATTTTTGTTGTTGTTGTTGTTGCTGTTTGAGACAGGGTCTTGCTCTGTCACCCAGGATGGAGTGCAGGGGCATGATCACGGCTCATTGCAACCTCTACCTCTCACCTCTCAGGCTCAGTGATCCTCCCACTTCAGCTTCCTGAGTAGCTGGGACTACAGGTGTGTGCTACCATGCTCAGCTAGTTTTCTGTATTTTTTTTCCTCTCCCATAGACACAGGGTTTCACCATATTGCCCAGGCTGGTCTCAAACTCCTGGGCTCAAGCAATGCCTCCACCTTGGCCTCCCAAAGTGCTGGGATTATAGGCGTTAGCCTCTGCACCCAGCCAGATTTCCTAACTTTAGTTTCCTCAACTGTAAAAGAGGGATTACAAATAGTGTCTATAATATAGAGTTGTTATGAAGATAAATTAATATAGGTAATATCATTAGAAAAATGTCTAGCATGAGATAAATGTTCAATGAATGTTACCTATTATTTTTATTCTTTTCAACTTTTGTTTTCCCTTCCTGGCATGTTGTTTCTCCCTCTATGCAGGCAGAGTAAACTGTAATTCATCTTCAAGATCTAATCTATAACAAGTACACACAATCAAGTAAAAAAATAGAAACAAGGTTTGAATAGACATTTTACCAAAGAAGATATATGAGTGGCTAATAGACTCATGAAAAGATAACTCATCATTAGTCATTAGGGAAATGCAAATCAGAACCATGAGATACTATTCCATATCCACTAGGATGATTATAATCTGAGCTAGACAATAATAAATGTCTGGCTGAGGCAGGAGGATCATTTGAGCCCAGGAGTTCAAGACCAGCCTAAGCAATATGGCGACATTCCCTCTCTACCACACACACAAAAAGAAATTGGCTGTAGTCCCAGTCACTTGAGAGGCTGAGGCGGGAGGACTGCTTGAACCCAGGAGGTTGAGCTGCAGTGAACTGTGACTATGCCACTACATTTTGGCCTGGGCGACAGGGTGAGACCCTGTCTTAAAAAAAAAAACAACAAGACTTTTTAAATGACTGATGGTCTGGAATGATTTTTTTAAATCATAGGCAATTTATCTTTTTCCATTATGAAAAAACATATTGCTTCCCAAGTATTGAACACTTCTTCTTAGAAGAAAGAACAGCATAGCAGAAAGAATATTACTATTGCAATGACAACAGTAACGTGTCATTAATTTACTCCATGACTCTGGACAAGTCTCCCTTACTAGGCTACAGTTTCCCCTTTAATAAAGACAAGATTAGCTCTAAGGTTCTCTCTAGCACACCTGCTGAAGAAAATTAAGGTGCTTCACACAAGATGAAAAATGAGCAGCTCAATTTCTTTACTACAAACAGGGAAGGAAATTCTTAATTTATAAGAGAAAACACAGCTGATGCATCAGGGGCCTTTTATATGTGTATATACATAGCTTTCATCCCAACACCAGGTCCCACCCTTCATTAACATGCAAACCCACATGGCCCACCCCTCCCACCCTTGTCCCACACCCCATATACCTCAGCTATGGTCATTCTCAGAGCACTGACAGGGGAGAGCTCAATATCCACCAGCTGGGCGGCTTTTAAACTCTGCCCAGTAAAGATTGCACAAGGACAAAAAACAGCATAGAGTTAGAAATTTAAGGCAAACAAGGACAACACCTAAGAACATTTAACACAGTGTTTAAAACAAAGGATTTAGGGCTGTAGTTGGGCTGTAGAAAAGATGAGAGTCACTGTTAAAATCAGGATTTTTCTGTGGAAAATAGCAATGATGAAAGAATCTCAAATTAGTCATAACTTTAAGTCAAGCTTGACAAACTTGTCTATACCCTGTATTTTCTAATGCTCTGCTTCATCCCTCCCAGGCTTCAAAGAAGTCAAATCATAGGATAATGTGAATGAGTCATTGGCAAAAGCTGATGAAAAAAAAGGCACTATTAAAAGGGTAAAGGTTTTCTACATTTCTTTATATAGCTGCTAACAGAGCTACTTAAAGTATAAGAAAAGTAATGAAGATATCTCTGGCAAATGTGTTTTCTATTAAACTGATACCATTAAACTCTAGAACTATATCATAAACTCCGCTG